TCTATCCTGTATTACTATTCGGATCTCCATTTCTTTTCTTACCTGTTTTACCATTCGGATGTTCATTTCTATTCTATCCTGTATTACCATTTGGATCTACATTTCTAGTTTATCCTCTATTCCTATTCGGATCTCCATTTCTATTCTATCCTCTATTCCTATTCGGATCTCCATTTCTATTCTATCCTCTATTCCTATTCGGATCTCCATTTCTATTCTATCCTCTATTCCTATTCGGATCTCCATTTCTATTCTATCCTCTATTACTATTCGGATCTCCATTTCTATTCTATCCTCTATTACTATTCAGATCTTTATTTCTATTCTATCCTCTATTCCTATTCGGATCTGCATTTCTATTCTATCCTCTATTCCTATTCGGATCTCCATTTCTATTCTATCCTCTATTCCTATTCGGATCTCCATTTCTATTCTATCCTCTATTCCTATTCGGATCTCCATTTCTATTCTATCCTCTATTCCTATTCGGATCTCCATTTCTATTCTATCCTCTATTACTATTCGGATCTCCATTTCTATTCTTTCCTCTGTTACCGTTCGGATTTTCATTTCTATTCTATCCTCTATTCCTATTCGGATCTCATTCTTTTCTATCCACTATTACGATACGGACCGCTATTCCCTACTTCATTCACTATAGGATATTTCTCTATTCGGGGCACTATAACTGTTACTTGTTGAGCGAGTATTATCTAGCTAGTACTATTAGTGCGAGTGCTATTCGAAGGCGTCTGACACCAGTATTGTTCAACGGCCTTACTATAGCTCTATCTGTGATTACAAAGTCTCTACTACAACGAGAATTACGAAAGTGATAACGAGTATTTTTTGACATCACAAAAGTGGCAACGGGTGTTCCTTGATTTCACAGAATATACTAGGACACACTCCCACTGAGTCGAATCACCATTATTTCCCCCGTGTTGTAAATGTAAAAAAAAGTTCCATTTAGAGCGCTTTTTCACAATAACTCTTAGTTTATGCAACACGCTCCTACAAGGATACTTTCCTGGATAAATACAATCGCAGCCTATCTTCTTTGTCTTTTTAATTTTCAAATATTCTTTGAATCATGTTATACACTTCATCCCATGGCCGTCTACATTGGGTGTCTCTCGAGCCTTGTATTAGGTGAACTAGTAGAAAATCTAGACGTTGAATGAGGTGTAAGGGATATGACAAAATTCGTTCTAGTAATGCCCTGTTTGACAGGCAACTGTAACTCTCGATGTTGGGCAAGGACTGATGAGTTAATTTTAATGACTCCCAAACGGAACTGCTCCCTGTTAATCGTCGAAGGGAACCCTTTCTGTCTTCCATCATCATGGCTGATTCTAACCCCCCTTAGGAGAGTGACTCATTGCGCCTAACGTTTTCTGCTAACATGAAGTGGAAAGATCGAATCGGTTGCCAGATCTGGTGCTAGAAATGTTGTGTCTCGCTGGGCTATTTTTATCTCCCGAATATCTTTTACATATTTATAAATGAAACATTTCTCAGAGTTAACCTGTAGAAAAAAGCATTATGTGTAAAGGTAAAGGACAATAGGACAACTGTATTATTAGCCGACGCGTTTCGTCCAATGTGGACGTTTTCAAGGCAAAAACGAAATGAATTTATTGAAAACAAAGTAACTATTAACAACAACCAAAATGTATTTAGTAACTAAAAGAATTTAGAAAACGGTATTGTATTCATATTGTCAACTGAAAATTGTGTCAAGTACTTTCACGTGTAGAAATATTGTTTTTTTATTGTTGTGCTGAAGGATTCAACCATTTTCTTTTGATTTTTTGATATATCTGTGTACATTAGCTTGGGAGAGTAGTAATTCTGTTAGGAAAGGTGATATTGGGAAAAAACCTGGGCGTAGATTAATATTTGGATAATATTCAATGGCAGCACTCTTGAGGATTTTATAAATATTTATAAATCTACTATTCCTTCATGCTTTGAATATTGCTGCCACATATGGTCTGGTGCTTCCGCTATATATTGAGCGATCCTTGATAAAATCCAATAAAATTTGCTATATCATTGATCCTGACCTGGCATCTCAGCTCCAGTCGCTTTCCTCCCGCCGTCATGTAGCTTCCTTTGGCATTTACTATAAATACTTTTGCGGTGAATGTTTTGATGAATTTTCCTCAGTTGTAACTAGACTTTATGCATTTAAGCGCAGTACAAGACTGGAGACATGAACGCTTCGTTTTACTGTTGAAATGGCTCGATGTAACCGTAAATTCTATGCTAACAGTTTCTTTTCTCGCACTTCTCGCTTGTGGAACTCTCTTCCGGTTTTTTGCTTTTAGCTTTGATCTTGAAAGATTTGAATGCAATGTCAATCGTTATCTTCTGTCTTTTTAATTCCTGTCCATGTATCGTTCTCTTATGTTAATTGTATTTTTTTTTCTGGTATTCTCTGATGCTCAGTAACCCCAGGTGTATAGGTTGGTTTTTTGCCTTGTTTTAGGTGAAAAGAATAAAAAAAAAAAAAACTAGGACGTTAGTTCCAGACCGTGAATTGACGATACAGATTCAAAATGAAAAAAAAAAAGAAGATATTACTAATGTTTCCCAATAGTTGGCACCTGAACAGACAATTTCGCTTCACCAGTGGTCTTCGTCAAGAGCATGGAGAGAAGATGGGCACCGTTAAGCTATTTGAAAACCTGACTGAAATGATCATGGGGGAGAAGAATCAAAGCAAAACTCTGCCGGATTGGTCGACAACAGTCGCCCGTCCCATTGACTCACTCCAGGAGGGGCGTGGCAAGTGGGCGACAAACACTATCAACCTACCAGTGCAGGGTACAGCCACCGGAATGTGGAACATTCGCACCCTGTATGCTTTTAAAGCAAAAAGTGAACGGACATAACAACGCCCGAACCCCTGAGAGCCACTACCAACAGATAAGACTGGGAGGAGATTGCCTGTTTTTTCTGTCCTCAGGTCTCCTCCGACGATTGGAATAGTCAAGGATCTGATGGTGATGAGGATATTTAAAAGGTTGATATTCTAACACGGAAAACCTCTTTCAGAAGGTAGCGAGGGAGAGCAAGAAGAAGGGACTAACCATAAATTATATAAAAGGCAGAATGCATGTCCGCCAGTAAAAGGATGAGCCCGGAAAGCGATTTGCAGTTTGAGGACACTAAAATCAAGCAGGTGCGGAAATTTAAATATCTGGGAAGTGTTTTGACAGAGGAGGGTAGGTGCGACGCTGAGATTCGAAGACGGATTATGATGCACGTTGCAGTTTTTTTAGGTATTTCTGTACTAGTGAGCTAGCCTAAATGAGCTGACTCATTTTATAGTTAACCAATAGAAGGGTTAACCAATCAGAAAGCTCAAAATATTCAATGCGACGTGTATAAAGGCAGCCATTTTTTTCGCCCAAATTGTCTGCACTGCCAACCTCTGATATCGAAGACTTAAAGAATTACTTAACAACCGCTACTTTCTCTGAATCTTCACGACATTCTCTGATATTGAACAGATTACGGACTTCACTGGATTCCATATTCAGAGAATGCAGCAAACATGGTCAACAATGCATTCCAAAAAGCTAGGCAGAGTACTGCGAGTCAGGAGGATTTCTTTGGTAACAAAGAAAAGAGTATTGAACTGCTACATGATATCTGCACTCCTTTACGGCAATGAATGTTGGACGGTCTCCTCAAAGATGAAGAGGTTTTGGAGAGGTTGCAAACAAAGAGAGAACATATTTAACCCTAGGAAGAGGCAGCTGAAATTTCTGGGACACATAATGAGAAAAGAAGGCTTGGAAAATCTTGGACAATACTGAGATCCGAAGACATATTGGGATGGCCAAGGATGCATTCTAAAAAGCTGGACAGAGTACTACGAGACAGGAGGATTTCTTTGGTGACAAAGAAAAGCGTACTGAGCTTCTACGTGACATCTGTCCTTCTATACGGCAGCGAATGTTGGACGGTCTCCTCAAAGATAAAGAAGAGACTCGACGCAGCGGAGATGTGGTTCTACAGAAGGATGCTAAGGATATCATGGAGTGAGCGTGTGAGCAACGATGAGGTCTTGGAGAGGATGCAAACAAGGATGAAGTTTAGACTTAAGAAAGAGGCAGATGAAATTTCTGGGACACGTAATGAGAAAGGAAGGCCTGGAGAATTTGATACTCACAGGTCGAATAGAGGTAAAAAGAGACAAAGGTAAGCAACGCATGACATACCTGGCAAGCTTAGGCAAGTGGATGACAGAACGTGGTCTAGGGGAGTTGGCTGAAGCACAAAAGTTATTGAGAGCTACAAGGGATGGAGGAAGTGGAGAGCCGTGATCGACTACGTCCTGAAAGGACAGGACACATAAAAGAAAAATTTCTACACGTTTCGCGTGGTGATCGTGAATTTTAATGCGCTGCCATTTTGTTTTTAATCATTTCACCTCAAGCAAGGCGGAAATGCCACTAGTACGCAGGAGGTTACAGGGAGTGAAAGAGAAAGAGAAGACTGAGAAAAGGGAGGGTTAAAGAAAGGACAAAAGAGGAAGGGGAATGCCACTAGTACGCAGGAGGTTACAGGGAGTGAAAGTGAGAGAGAAGACTGAGAAAAGGGAGAGTTGAAGAAAGATGAACGGGATTCAAGAAGACAGAAGATGGCGATTGATGTCTTTAAATTTCTTTTTTTCTTTCTTTCTTTCTTTCATGATACTTTCATTCTTTTTTCCTTTCAGTCTTTCTTTTTTTTTCGTTCTCCTCTTTTTCTTTCTTTCGTTATCTTTCCCTTATTATTTTTACCTTTCTTTCTTTCTTTCTTTCTTTCTTTCTTTCTTTCTTTCTTTGCTTCCTTCATTTCTTTCTTCTTCCGCTTTCTTTTCCTCTTTCTTTTTGCTGCCATTCCTTTTGAATACTTTTCGCCATTTTTACCTCCTGATTATCTCGCTTCGTTTTTATCTTTGCATTTTTCTTTTTTTTGTTTGCCGTTTCTTCTTAAAGTAAACCAATCTTCCTGCCATCGAGACACAATCGAACGGACACATCTTTAGGTGAATCTCTTTTTTAAATCACCGTTTTCCTCACGACGTGTCAATGAATATATTCAGCTAACTTAATGGTCATCTAATAGCAACCGTGGAATATAGGCCCGCTACACATGACAAGACAAAAACAGTGAAAAAAATGGGATAATGATCAATAATAGCTGATCAATAATATATCCCGCCAAGAATAGGAACAAATTTAAATCTCAATAAATAACAAGAAGGCGCTTCTTTCAAGACTTCTTTGACGTATTTTATTTTGTTTTTAAATCTGTTCTCTTTTGATTTGAAACACTTGAAACCGCAGGATCATGTCTCCTTAAATTTGCTAATTTCACTGCTATTTTTAAGAATGACTACATTAACGACTCATTCTCTAAATGTCTCTTGACAATGCTATGGAAATACAAGCCTGCTATGTTTATTATCGGTCACGCCAGTTGGTTATTTACATGACTATTTACAAGAATGATTGCCCAATATACTTAATCTTTAAAAGCCTTTACAATGTACCTAATCTTTAAAAGCCTACGTTACAGCGGCGGTAAACTTTACCGCCGTTTTAATGTAGCGTCCCTGTGCCTTTTCTATAAATATTTCAAGGGTAATTATTCTGGCGAGCTTTACTCTACGGCATCTAGACTTTATGAATTTAAGCGCATTACGAGGTTGACGGCAAGAGCGCGTCATTTTACAGTTGAAAACGCTAGATGTAACCGTAAGTCCTATACTAATAGTTCATTCCCTCGCTCTTCTCACTTGAGACACTCTGTTTTGGCTTCTTGCTTCTCCAGGCAACTTTCATGATGAAAAATTTTAATGCAATGTCAATCGTTATCCTTTCTCTTTTTAATTCTTGTTCTGTTATTGTAGCCCACCCACTCAATATTTTCTTTTCCTGATATTCTCTCAGACTTAGTAGCTCAGGTTGCGTCTTGGTGGCTTTATTGCTTTTAAAATGAAGAAGAAAAAAAGAGGACTGATAAATCATGAACTGTTCAGTGTATCTTTGGGTAATTTATATTCACTTTTTTTGTCGGAAAGATCTCATCATTTGTACATAGCTACATGTAACCGTAAGTTCTATGCTAATAGTGTCTTCTCCCGCATTTCTCACTTGTGTGAACACTTTCCCGGTTTTTTGCTTTCCAGTGAACTTTGATCGTGAAAAATTTAAATGTAATGTCAATCGTTATCTACTGTCGTCTTGATTCTTCTTCTTTTATTGTTCTCTCTCCTTAATAGTATTTTTCTTTTTCTTTTATACTCAGTAATGTCTTTATTGCTCTGCTTGTGGTGAAATGATTAATATATATATATATATATATATATATATATATATATATATATATATATCAGGAAGCAATTTTTTTTATTGATGCATGTTTCATTAAATAATATAGACAAGTTTTGTCTATTTATTTTAAATAAGTTCTTTTCATATTGTTTGATAAGCTTAATAACATTATCATTGAAAGACGAAAGAAAGTCACCATATTGATACATGTTTAAATCCAATCTAAGCTTTCGACTTACATAAGCCATTATCAAAGATGACAATTACATTTCAATATATCAACCAATACACGGACGAAACAATAATGATAGTTTGTTTTTGTTGCATGAAAAATTTCGAAGCAACGACTAAATCGTGTATACGAGACGCGGAAGCGGAAATCGTGTTGCTGCTCGTGACGTCACACATGACCACGTCAGAGTGAATTCGAGAAGTATTAAGTATGGGAAGCCATTGTTATAAACCAATAATTGATAACAGAAGCCATTGGTTTATACCAACGGCATCCCATACTTAATACTTCTCGTTTTCACTCTCGCGTTGTCATATCGTTTATTTAATAATTTATTTTGGTCTGGGAAGGTAATAATAGCTATTTTTTTCCTCCAAGCAAAGTTTGCAGGTTTTTGATTGGTTGTTGTAGGCTGATGATCTTTTCCTTATTTAAATAAATTAAAACTGTCCACCCGCCAAAAGAACAGAATAGACTACGGCAAGCAATTTAAACATTGGACAAATAAATAGCTTTAATTATCTTCCCAGACCAAAACAAACTATTAAATGTGACCTAAGCAAATCCCCCTCCAAAATGTTTTTACTACGTTAATAAAACATCAAAAAACGAAAAGAATAAATAATAGAAAATGAAAAACAAGTAAAATAAATTAACCCAAAGAAACAAATAAATAAATAAACGTAAAATAACCGCCAGAATAGATAACCCACAATGCACCACTGACCCATATATATAAATAGCCGAGGAAAAATCCAGCATTCGCAACCTGAGTATTGCGTCCAGCATGAAACATCTTGTCGCCTCTGAGTGTTAACTTCAATGCTCACTTTTATATTTATATATACATACGCTCTATCTCTGATATTCAGCACACTTTATACCATAAATATAGCACCCCTTAAAATTATATTTCTTCATATATATATATATATATATATATATATATATATATGAAAAGTGGTCCACGCGTACGCCTCGTAATATGTAGATAAAATAGTCTGTTTAATGAAATTTAAGGAAAAAATGCCAACAAAAAGATATTTATATCATCAATGAATTTATAATAATAATAATTTATTACGTATTAAACTTGTAACCTAGGAAAGGTTACTGAATGAGGAATGACCAAAACGGAGGTTGGAAATGAAATGGTAATCTTTATAACATCAACAAAATGCAATACTCGCCAGCGGCCTACAGTAGGTAAACCACTGCTAGTGGTGGACTACATAGACAGCATATTACCCCCCACTTATAATAGTGTCCAAAGTATTTATGAAGATTGGGACATATCAGTTAGTGTTCATAGGTATGGTATATAAGAACTATGAAAATAGATTGCAAATGATTTTAGTTTGAAAATGCATTGCAAATGATTTTACTATGAAAATGCATTGCAAATGATTTTACTATGAAAATTCATTGGAAATGATTTTACTATGAAAATGCATTACAAATGATTTTATTATAAAAATGCATTGGAAATGATTTTACTATGAAAATGCATTACAAATGATTTTACTATGAAAATGCATTGCAAATGATTTTACTATGAAAATGCATTGCAAATGATTTTACTATGAAAATGCATTGCAAATGATTTTACTATGAAAATGCATTGCAAATGATTTTACTATGAAAATGCATTGGAAATGATTTTACTATGAAAATGCATTGGAAATGATTTTACTATGAAAATTCATTGGAAATGATTTTACTATGAAAATTCATTGGAAATGATTTTACTATGAAAATGCATTGCAAATGATTTTACGATGAAAATGTATTAACACTGATTTTACTAACAAAACGCATTGTCAATGATTTTGCTATGAAAATGCATTACAAATGATTTTACTATTATTGTAACCTAAAAAAGGTTACTAAATGAGGAATAACAAAAACGGAGGTTGAAAATGAAATGGTAATCTTTATAACATCAACAAAATACAATACTCGCCAGCGGCGTGAAGTAGGTAAACCACTGCTAATGGACAGCATACTACCCCAACTTACAATAGTGTCCAAAGTATCTATGAGGATTAGAATATACTGATTAGTGTTCATATGTACGGAATATAACAAACCTTTTGATTGAAATGAAGAATAAAGAGATAGATTTTAAAGTCGGAATTTTCGAAGACACCTGTATCCTTTTCCAAATATGTGAGGAATAAACAAATAATAAGTGGAACTTTCGAGAAATGTTGTTGATTGGAGGTCACCCTGTAGAAGTTATATATATATATATATATATATATATATATATATATATATATTATTTATGTTATTTATTTTCTTTTTTTTTTACATTCAGCATCATCACTTGATAAGACACCGAGGGTGTTGAAGCAAAATGGCTATTTTTGTAGTGATTTTATAACATATTTATGTTATAATCTTTTTAAAATAAATAATTATATCTGCTCTACTTTGTATTGAGCACTCTTTTAAGAATAGTAATTGTTGGTTATTGGAATTCATTCCATATACACCAATCATATATATATATATATATATATATATATATATATATATATATATATATATATATATATATATGGGTAGTTAGGTAATGAAAAGTTTGGTAATCCGTATGGATAATCCCAAGGAATCCAGAAATCTCAATGTCAAATCAGAGCAAATATTATTTTAATTTAATTAGAAAACAACCTTAAGGGTCCTTTGTTTATATTTTATTTCCCTGGGAAGGTGGTTTTTTTTCTTGGTTCTTCAGATCACATTTCCAAGCACGAAAAATGGTTCTAAATTTATGTATTATTTTTATACACTTTTGAGGGGGGAGTTATAAGTTGATGTAAGGTGATAGAGAGAGATGGGGAGGAGGGCGACAGATATGGTCAAAATTAGAGAAGGAAGGGAAAGATTGGAATAATTTTAAATCTATTTTTATTAAAATAGATAAGAGTAAGGGGGGGTTAAGGACCAGACATTGACCTATTTAATAAGTCATCTCACAGGAAATGGGACAAAGAGAAAAAAAATTATATATATATTTATATATATATATATATATAATATTTAAGCTTTTAATAATAATAATAATAATAATATATATATAATTAATAAGCTTTTAATAATATATATATATATATATATATATAATTAATAAGCTTTTAATAATATATATATATATATTGGAGGCACGGTGGATATCGGCTTGGATTGAGGAATTGTAGAGCCGAGTTCGAATCCAGGTTGAATCCATTACATTCACTTATGTGCTAATACACTTGGGAAAGGTGTGAATCCTCCTCTTCTTCTCCCTCCAGCTCTGGGTAAAATAGCAGGACAGACTGGGTTCTATCGCCTTGGATGGCAACTGGTCTAGGAGAAGGACAACTCTGAATTCAAAACCTGCGGAGGGTCGCTTGGGAACCTTGTGGCACGTAGTGCACCAGGTCTC